GAGAGATTCCAGAATGGACACATGCACATTCAGTCACAGGTTTCCACTTTTGTTCCACCTCTCCCTGTGATGCAAATTCACAATGCCAAATGTATAGAACACACACACACATATACACAAACAGAAGGTTGTGCCGCATGCAGAAATACATTTAGAAAGACATGCAGTGGCACAAAGAATTTAGAAAGACATGCAGTGGCACAAAGGTGGTTTTTCTGTGGGGTCTTCACCCATGTGTAGGAGCACAAGAGCACGGAAAACGTGTCGGTGGACAACCAACCTGATGTTCAGTTGCAACAAGACCGCAACGCGCTGCAAAAAGGAGTTTCCTTCTTGGCAGCGTCTCCCTGACACACAAAACACACACTCCAGGCTGAGCGCTACACTCACTTTGGGTGCACTCCTGCATGCATTTTGACAGCAAAGCGTTCCAGCCTGGCTGACTGGGGGATGCTGGCAACTCCAGGACTATTTCTCCGTCGAAACGCAAATCCGGTTGTGCCCCATTCCCCCAGTTGTCAGCATGACAGAGTTGCAGGGGCAGCTGTAAAACCCTCATCAGCCCAAGGACTGATTCCATTTCGGAGAAGTTCTCACGTGCGACTTTCTTTTGGTGGAAGAACCAAAGGGAAAAGAGGCCTAGAATTCAGACGTCCAACTGGGAGCCCCTTGTAGCATAAAGCTCATCCTCTGTGCCATTTCAGGATGGGGAAGAGCCACGCAGAAGCTGGGAAGATGCCTCCAAGCTGGAACACCTTCCAGGAGCAAGTAGGGCTTCTGTGCACCCCCCTTCTCAGGGCACAGAGCCAGGAAACTGGGCCATGTGGGGAAGGTATAGAGGAAGAAGGCTCCTCCACAACTGGGCAGAGGGACCAGGCCTTTGGAGAGAGCAACTCCCAGGGGGCCTAGGCAGGGGTCAGAACCAGGGAAGGGCCTTCTCCATGCAGAACTTGAGTGGCTACCTTCGACCTTGGTCCCCTCCGCAAGGGAGTCGCTCAGAATGCGCTTCTTGGCAGAGCATCCTTTCCTTCTGAAGCAGCACGTACTCACGTCCGACCCACATGCCATTTTGCCCCTAATTTGGCCTTCGGAAAGGCAGACAATCTCTCCGTCTGCAAAATACAGTGGTACCTCGGCTCACAAACGCCTTGGTTCATGAACAAATCGGGTCACGAACAAAAATTTCTGAAAATTTTTGACTTGGGTCGTGGACACCGCTTTGGGTGGCAACCAAGATCGCAGCCATCTCCCCTCCCACCCCTGAGTGGGGAGATGGCGGCGATTGTGCTGGGGGCGGGGGGGGGGG